TAGTAGAACTTAGTATAGAATTGTTAGTTAAAAATTTTTAATCTGTTTTTATAGCTCCTACCTTGCAGTGTTGTAGTTAAGAATCACATAATAAAAAATTCATTATTTATAAAGAAGAGAGCCTTCTACTAACAGACGTTTTTAAATGATCATAATTTGCCCAACTGTCCACTGAAAAATCTTAGGCTTAGAGATGTCAATTGGTTTATCTGCGGTCGGTCTATCGGCTAGTTTACTGGCCACATCCACACTGAAAATGGACTCCAAATGATATTTGCCATCCCTGCCTCTGGTATGCCACGTTGCTTTCATTAACGAACTGAAAAAAAAACACCTAACTTAATGAGTACTTATACTCAGTGAGTAGAAACGCGTTTCTTTTTTGTGACATCCTATGAAAATTATATGTGGGATTTTCTTTCTTTTCTAAGCAGGGACTTGGTATTGTTGTCAACTTAAATTACCTTCACTGATCACCTCAAATACAATCTTCCTCAAATTTTCCTCTGCCACCATAAGTATAAACAACTGGGTTTCTGGAACCTCTTAAGGAGAATCAACATACTCTTTTCATAGCCCCCAAAGGACCGTACACTTGCACCAGGCGCACCGTTCAGGTGGCTGAGTAGGCAACTTCAATGATTGTGATGACGTGTCCTGACACATATTTCAATAAACTATATGAAGAATCTGATACCGTTTTTATCTTTATATAAACACTACTTCCAGATGTGTTGAACTACTAGAACACCGAGACGTGACACAGGTACTGCTAGTTGTCCCCTAGGTGTCCATCCATGTTCAGTAGAGCCTGGCCAGGACCACCTGCCCAGAGACCTATGTTGTATTCGGTTTATAACCAAACTTGCACAGAACCTCACAGGTTTATCATCTGGGAGATAGAGATATATATATATATATATATATATATAGCAGATCTGTCAAGACTACAATATCCCTTCAGCTCACATTTGCAAATGCTGTTAATCACAGACTGGGAAACAGAAATCCCTTCCTTTGGTGAATTTGTTTACTCTGCTTCCAATAAGTGGGTTTAATGGACACCCTGCCAGGACCATTTATTTAATTAGAAATATTTTTAAATTATATTTATTTGTAAATGAAAAGGACTTCGTTTATTTACACTGTTTATTTTTCTGAGGTGTTTACTGCATGATTTCTGGGTACAGCTTATTTTACAATAAAAATCCCAAACACTAAGTTTGATTCCTGGTACAGCAATTTCTAATAACAAAACCTTGGTTTATCTACTTGGCGTAAATGCTCCAGTCTGTTCATGTTAGCCTGACAGTTGTAATGTTCACTTTTGGTATTTTGGTGGAGATTAAAAGGTGCACATTTATGAGGTGCCTGGCGAAAGGCTTGGCACATAGTAGGTACTCCTGTGTGGTGTTTTCTGGGGACATTACCATTAGCATTTTTTCCTTATGTATTATGAGAAGATGGTAGAGATAACCATCATCAGTCACTACCTCTTTCCAGAGGAAATGCCCTTGCGTATGCCCACCAGAGATGATCATATATATTCCTCCTAGAGAGCTTGTAATCTATAGCTGATAAGCTGTATAATATGTAGACACTAAAGTGTGTGATGCCTTCATATAAAAACATAGCAAATATACTGTCTCACAAGTATGTCCGTGAAACTGAGGTTCTGTTCTAGAAGGCTGATCTCTTTTGCTCTCACCTGGATGTGGCTCATATGGGAGTGTTAGGATGCAAGACGGCATTATGCTTGTTGTTCTCATGTACAGAATAGACGTACTAGACCAGTGATCTCAACCTTCCTAATGCCGCGACCCTTTAATACAGCTCCTCATGTTGTGGTGACCCCCAATGTCATTGTTACAAATCGAACATAATGAGAGCATAGTGATTCATCACAAAAACAATATGTAATTATATGTGTGTTTTCCGATGGTCTTAAGCGACCCCTGTGAAAGGGTCGTTCGACCCCCAAAGGGGTGGCGACCCACAGGTTGAGAACCGCTGTACTAGATGATGGTAAGAAGTTAACCTTAGTCTAATTTTCCAACAGATTCTTTTCCCGTTTGAAACGTAGCAGCGGCAGCAGTCTGGTCGGTCTCCATGTCTCAGGGAAGCTGCACTTCACATTTCCTTTTCTTTTCACACGTGGTTGTTGAGCACCTACCGCACAGGAGGGCCAGTGAAAGTGGCTGGGGTACTAAGGTGAATAGGACACCATTGTCGCCCTTGAGAGTTTTATAGATTGCTAGGAGAGACAGAGTCCAGTACAGTGGGGCCTTGACTCACGAGTTTAATTCGTTCCGTGACGGAGCTCATAACTCAAATTACTCGTATGTCAAATCAAAAAGTGAGCGAGTGAGACACGTGATGCTGGGCTGATGTGGCGTTCACTGTGACGTTCGCTGCGCCAACTAGCGGTGGGGTATCTGAAGCTGGCTCGTAACCCAAATTTTAGCTCGCAACTCAAAGCAAAACATCGGCCGAGAGACGGCTCGTATCTCGAAAAACTCGTTAGTCGGGACACTCGTAAGTCAAGGCCCCACTGTATATAAAATACAGGGCAGTATGGAAGTGAAACAGTAGAGGTGTACTAGGTTTGCTCAAGCTGGTGCTTCCATCTCCTGACTCAGCACAGCTCTTTCCAACTCTGTGTTCAGTGTCCTCACTGGGGGAAAGGAGGCGGTTTACACCACGGATATTGGCAAAAGCTACAACAGATTTTGTCTTTTTTTCCCTTGAGAACTGGTTGTTCAACATTTACCAGCACACCACCGGGTATCTGCAAAGTGCTTTATGGCATAGAGGAGGGAAGAGATGAATTTGTCCTGCGGCATTTGAGGAAACCACAAGAGTGGTGACATTTGACCTTGTAGTATGGTGGGGAGTGGGCCACAGGACAAGAAAAACGGAGGAAACTTGGAAAGGGCACAGTAATTGCAGGTGGCAATCCCAGCTCATAGTTACCTTTGAGGTGATGACAGCAGAAGGCAAATGCAGTGTCGAGAAGCTTCTATTGATAAGGTAATAAATAGATGTGCCTGGGGATTCAACTCCAGCACAGCACAACCCCAACCACAGACAGTGATCTGACCCCTAAATGTCAATAGTGCTGAGGCGGAGAAACCCTGGCCTAGGTCAGAGTGAAGAGGTCCGAAGTACAGTGGGGCCTTGACTTACGAGTGTCCTGACTAACGAGTTTTTTGAGATACCAGCTGTCTCTCAGCCGATTTTTTGCATTGAGTTGATAGAGTAATTTGAGTTAATGAGCTCCTTAACGAGCTCGGTCTCAGAACAAATTAAACTCGTAAGTCAAGGCCCCACTGTACCAGAAGAGGGCTGGAGTCAGCTTGCAACAGGTGGGGGCGGGGAGGAGGTGATGGCCCTCCAGGCCCAGCTATGCGGCCGCCCGTTTGTCATAGACCTGGTCAGAGCTCCCACCTATTGACCCCATGCAGCGGACACTCCTGAAGCTGCCAATTCCTGATTCGCTAAGGTGGTTTTTTCTCTCTGATACCAAACATTTTACAATATTTCTTGAGCTATTCTCACAAAATGTTGGCCACTTCTTTGGGGGAAAACACGCCACAAGGCATCAGGGCTCTGCTTGCACTTTTTTGAAATTCGGACGTTAGATTTGCATTGAAATCATATCGGCTAAGAGTTGAATAAAGTTATTGTTTAGATGGAGCTCAGAAAGCAAACTTGGGAAGTTCTTTTGAAGTCTGGGCTTACGTTCCTAAGCAGCCAGTGAGTTAGCTTTCCTCCTATTCTCGCTGAGACAGTGTTAAGTTCTCCAGATCAGCCCTGCCGGTGAGGTGATAGTTTGTCTTAACCAAACATCAGTGTTGATGTTACTCATAACAATTTTATTACCTAAAATTATGCCTCGGGTCCTCAGTAGAAAAAGATTCCTGTTCATTTGATGCGTTTCAACAGGTTCGTGTGCACGTTGCTTTAAGATGTTTCCTAGACCAGTGGTTCTCAACCTCGGCTGCACATTAGAATCACCTGGGAATCTTTTTACAATCCTGATTTCTGGGCCTCATCCTCCGGAAAGTCTGTTTCTTTGTTACTCATGTTGTGGCCCCACCCCATCACAAAGAAACAGAATTTCCGGAGGGTGAGGCCCAGAAATCAGGATTTTAGAAAGATTCCCAGGTGATTCTAACGTGCAGCCGAGGTTGAGAACCACTGTCCTGGATGGATATACAGTTCAGGCGACACCCTCCTCCCTTGATTGCTGATTGCAGCTCAGGTGTGCAACCTAACCATTTGGTTTCCTCCCCGCTGTCTGCAAAAGCAGGACTTCAGGTGCAATAGGATTGGGTCCTGAGGGTTGCACTTTCCTGTCTGAAAGCGTCCTGCCTGTTCCAAATGCTGTGTGTTTTTAGGGAGCTCTTAAAGCAGCGGTTCTCAACCTTCCTAATGCCGCGACCCTTTCATGCAGTTCCTCATGTTGTGGGGTCGCCCAACCATAAAATTATTTTCGTTGCTACTTCATCACTGTAATGTTGCTACTGTTATAAATCGTCATGTAAATAGCTGATAGGCAGGATGTCTTTTCATTTACAAATTGAACATCATGAAAGCATAGTGATGAATCACAAAAACCATATGTAATTCTATATGTGTTTTTCGATGGTCTTAGGCGACCCCTGTGAAAGGGTCGTTCGACCCCCAAAGGGGTCGCGACCCCCAGGTTGAGAACCGCTGTCTTAAAGGCAAGGCCTTCAGGTCCTAAGCGAGTGAAGCTTTGCGCAGCTGTGAGATCAGAATGGAACTCATCTTCTGCGTGGGGGGCTCCGGGCCATGCTTCCAGCTGCTTCCAGTCCTTGAAATCCCGCTGGTTCCCTAATCCTGGCGGAGGCGGCCTCTGTGGCTCCCAGGGTCCACCCCTCCCTCCTGATTGGCCCGGCTCCTCCGGGGGGGCCCCCGCCGCCCGCCTCCGACAGCCCTGAGCCCTGATTTGAAATCAGAGCCAGGCGGTCCTGCTTCCCCGCTCCCGACTTGCCATAGGCTGCGGGGGGGAAGCTGGGGAACTTGACATTGCCCGGGGCCGAGTGCGTGGAGCCACCGATCAAAGAAGAAGCGGCCGACAACGTGCTCCGGGCTGCCTGCGGGGCGCCCCGAGTTGCTTTTGTCTGGCGGCCGCGGCTGGCTCTGGCGTGGCCCCTCGGAAGACCGCAGCGTGGGCTCCGAGGCAGCTCGCTCCCTGCCGGATGGGTCATGGGACTCTAAACATGAGGCAGGTAGGCTCCCGGGGCTGCCCGGGCGGCTGGGGAGGGAGGGCACAGCTTGGGGTCCCGGGGATGTTACTCCTGGAGCAGCAGCTGCCTGGCCGGGGAGGTCCGCTGGGCGCCGAGACCCGGCTGCGTTTCCCTAAGGGAACCGACGAGGCAGGTTTTCCGAGGTGCGCCCCCTCCCCACCCCCCATCCCCCCCTCGCTCACCCTTCCTACTTTTCCCTTCCCTGGTGATGTCAGGCAGTCATTGTAAAGGGCTTAGAAGCGGTTGGGAGAATATGTAAATCAACTGCAGTTTGCAGTCCCTGGGGTGTATTGTGCCAGGATCTCTCCCGAGCTTTTAGCCTCAGTCCCGTGCTCTGGGGGAGAAGAAAGACAGCTGAATATCCTGAAAAAGAATTACACGGGGCCCCTGATCTCATTTGGGCTCCCCGTTCTCAGCACTTACTGGTTTGATGGCCAGGAAGGCGGGACCGGCTCTAAAGGAGCAGACAGTCCTTCCAGAAAAACGCAAGTTGGTTTCTCTGCTCCAGCAGTTTTGAAACCCTTCTGGGTCCGGACAGGAGAAGACACCCCTGAAAGGAGTGAACTGAGAAAGGGCCCGGGGGTGACTCCAGTGAGTCTTTGAGAAGAATTCGACCAGCAGCTCCGGGGCCTGATGAGAAAATTCCTTATCAGCCTGCCCTAGGCGGGGGCTTCCAGCGTTGCCATTGAGGAAAAGAAAAAAGTGGGTGCAGGCAGCTGGGAGAAGGGTGTCATTTACAACTCGGTCACAGTTACGGGAGAATCTTATGTCAATATTTAAATATCCAGATCGGTACTCCCGAAGGCAAAGGCGGGACTGGGACACCGTGCCGGAGGCTGGCGAGGCTGAGAATGGCAGGAGGAGTGGCCGCCTGGCCAGCTGGGGAGAAATCTGGAGGAAAAGTTAGCATCTGCACTTTTTCTGCTGAGCCACGTTGAGTACCGCCACCCTGAGAGCTTTGGGGGAAGTGATTTGCATGGGAAGCAAACTGTCCAGTTAGGGGCCTGGGGTGAGGGGTTCACAACTTTCTGTCCCTTCCCTGCAGCCCAGGGGGTGACGCAGAGCCCCCTCGCTTGCTTGGTAAATCTCAATGAGCGCAGAAAAGCACCTTTAGCCAAACAAGTGTTGTGTGTTTGCAAGGAATTGCCCTGGCCTTGCTGGCGACCAGGGCCCAGGCTCAGTTTAAGTTCTGCAAACTCCTGGTCCGACCCCCTTCTTTTTATGCCCAGCCATCAGCTGGGATGGGGGAAAGGAAGGGGAAGGCTACATGGGAAGGATTTCAAAGGCAAAGGAGGAACGTAAAACAGTGGTGACCAAGGTCCTTGGCTGGAACAAAGAAGTCATTTGATCCCGTGGGGAGCCACCTGTCCTGCCCTCGATGGTGTCTGAGCTCAGTTTTCAGAGCCCCTGTGCCCACACAGTTCCTCCGGAGCAGGGGCGCTTCCCGTGCCCGAGGCCGGAGGCCTGCTGTCCGGAGCTTGGCATGGTGTTTCCCAGGCCTGGCTCACGGTGGCATTCACGTGAATTGGAGTTCAGCCCAGCGTCCACATGTAGTAACTCCTCAGCTATGTCATGAATGGCCTGCTTTTTGTCCTACAACTCTGTGTGTCGAATAAATGTTTGGTCTCTAGTCCTTGGGAAGAGGGTGGGATGGAGTGGGATGCAGGGGAAGAGAGGGGGAGAGTCATTACTCATCCAAAGAATCCAGCGGTTCAGGAATCTTAACACATTGTTCCCGAACAGCTAGAGCAGGAATGCAGAGGGGAGGGAGTTGGCGGAGTCATTGGCGGGGACCAACCCTAACTGGATCGGAGTTTCTCTTGGGGGAAAGCTGACTGTTGCATCCAGGAAGGGTGAAGCGTACCTCCCAGCCAATTTCTCATCTCTGCCCTGCAGCCCCCCTGGCCTGGCAGGGTTCACTCTCCAACAGGTCCACGTGTCATCCGCTGGGCCATGAAATCCAATCTCTGCGCTGAGGAGTGAGCCGGCCCCAGAGCTGCACGAATGCCGGACAATGGGGTGGCGGCCAGGAGACCCCTGCCACTAGCTAGCCACAGCCGGGGGTCGGGAGTTGCCAGCAGAATTAGAAAACTGCTTGAATGGCCATGAGGTTCAAAGGGCTTTCCTCTTCTGCCAGGTTGGCAGAAAAACAGGGCATCGAGGTAGAGTGTTCGTTGAGGGTTCCCGAGGTCGTGCTGAGTTAGGCCGCAAGAGAAGGGTAAACCTGATTTGATGTGCCTTTTTCAGGAAGTAATTTTAAAGTGTGTGCCAACCTTTTTTTTTTTTTTTTTTTTTTTTTGCACTCTGATCATAAATAGGAAACTTTCCTGAAACTTCCTTGAGAAGGAATGTGCTCTGTTCCCAGGCAAAAGGAAAGGCATGGCCACCTGTTCTAGAAGCCCAGCCAAAAACAACAGGTTTGCCTGCGGCATTCCCGCCACTGCAAATACCCTCCCCAAGGGCACGCCACCCATTGTCCCTGCGCATGAGAAGAACAAATAATTCTTTCTCGAGCTGGGAAAAAAATCAGGTTCTCCAGACAAAATTGCCTACCAGACACATTTTGTGATTTTAATATCCTGCTGACTGTAGACACCGCACCAAGAGGAGAAGGTGTGCGCTCTGTGTCTGATGGACTCAGATGACTGCAGTCGCCTTGCAGCCTGAAGGGTAAAGAAGGTAGTTAGCCGGCCTGTAAGCAGCTGCTAAATTCTTGCAGGGCCGGGATGGTGCCATTATAAGGAAGCTGCGACTCAATTTGATTAGCCTGTTTTGCATTCTTTAGATTGGAATGAAAATGCCCAAGGACATCTGGTTTAATAATGAACATCTTTGTATTAATCTTTCCTTTGAGGATTAGAAAGTCCTTTACAAACGCTATCTATTTATTCTCTGCCACATTCCCAGGAGAGAACGAGGTGGCAATTTGATCCTCATTGAACAAATGGTGAGGTGAGGGATAAAGACACAGCAAGTTAGATGCGCGTCTGAGGGTGCATACTACCCACCGGGAAAAACAAGCTACATATGCAGCCGTGGACTCACCGGTCGGCAAACTGCGGCTCGCGAGCCACATGCGGCTCTTTGGCCCCTTGAGTGTGGCTCTTCCTAAGCCTTAGGAGGACCCTAATGAAGTTAATAACAATGTACCTACCTATATAGTTTAAGTTTAAAAAATGTGGCTCTCAAAAGAAATTTCAGTCGTTGTACTGTTGATATTTGGCTTTGTTGACTAATGAGTTTGCCGACCACTGGCCTAGGGGTTAACAGAACTCTCCTACATGTTCTTTCCTTATTCTGGAACCAACACGGAGCACCCCAAGTATGTTCTATGGTTTGCTTCATGTGAAGGTCAAGCCTGTAAAAGTTGAAAAGGCATTTCTGTTCTCATTTGTGGCAACATCGAGGGCAGGCAGCTTTGATGACATCAAGTAGAAAGATACTGTAACTGACCAGAATGTAAAGTATGTATCCGAGAAATGTTCCCTTGCAGCAGATGTTTTAAGTTTTTGCACGTGGTGTGCGGCTCCAGGATCTTGAACCTATGTTAGAATTTTCACCTCTTCCCTGCTCTCTCGCCATCGCAGGGAATGTGATAACCGTGAGATGGATGTCAGATTAGAGATCCTTATTGGTTGATTTGAAATATTATTTTGGAGTTGGCCTTTTCTTGCCATTCGTTAGGACCTGCTTTAGTAGTTTGCTTGGCTATGGACCACATAGGCTGCAAGCAAATCCTTTAATTGGCAGTTGCATGTTATCTGCAGACATTCCAGCAAGTTTTAAGGCTAAGCATGTATGTAGATGTCTCCTGGCTTTGATCCCTTGTGTGGTAAATAGACATCCAAGGTAGCTATGGCAACCTGGACTGTGCATTGGTGAAAGGGTGGGGGGGAGCGGGTATTTGGTCATTGGACAAAGAGTAATTTTTTTTTATTAGAAAAAGGTGGGGCTGATCAGGACATCTTAAAACCAGTGTTATTTCAGGATCCCAGTTGATGCAAAGCATTTGGATTTTTCTGAGTAGACAAACAGAATGAATGCTTCACTACAACCAGAGTATTTTGCAGATGTAGCTTGAAATGCTTTCTAATCAAGTGGTTGTTACTTTAAAAAAGCAGCTTGTAAAAGGAAAGGGAAGTCCAACAGACTGTATCAGTGTCCCTGTTGTACTTAGCGTGAATGTTTGTATTTTCAGAAATCGGTGGGATTTTAAAAGGAAAAGACCACGCTCCGATGGGGCGGTGTGCAGTTCAGGGATCCACCTGCAGGGGTCAGGCTTGAAGTGTCTATGACGGAGGCCAGGCGGTGGATGCCACTGCTGGGAGCCCGGATGGGAGTCAGAGAGAATTGCTCTGCTTATTTGGAACAATTAGTTAGCGATTCTTTAATCTTGTGACCAAAGCCATGATGAAAATGAGTTCATTCAAAGGAGAGAATATCAAATACTCTGTGATTAAAGAAAGGGCTACAAAGCCAGGTCATACTGGAATCTAATCTCCACTTAGATATGGGACAGTTTATTAACATAATTCTTTCTGGCTCATTATCAACTTTTATTTCTCATGAAACTAAAAGGTTGTTGTTTTTTGCCTAGTTTTATGAACTAGCATGCCCTAGAAGTTTCTTTAAACAAAAGGGCTAAATATTAGGGACCCTTCCAAATCCACAAGATTTTTTTTTCCCTCCAGAGGAAAGGATTTCGTTGGCCCAGATCAGGATGGTTCATGTCCTAAAGGAGGTCAGGAGGTGTTGAGCTCAGAAAATTGAAATACCGAAGAAAAAAAAATAACTAGAAGGGACTTTCCTAAAAGCTACAACAAAAACCCTAAGAACTTAGCTGCTTTGTGCTATAAAAGAAAAGTACTGGGTAGAAAAGGCAAAAAAAGGGGGGTCGGGTTGTTGATTATTTGTACAAGTAGATTGGAAAGTTTTATATACAGTCAATTGTTTATAATGAGTACAATGCAAAGGCTCTCCTT